AGTCTGTGTTTATCGATTTTCCACTCCAGCACCTGCTCAGAAGGCATTTTTTGTGACAAACCCCATTACTGAACCGATTGAGTCACCGGGAGAAGCGATAACCAAGCACCGAGCACCTCTGCTCTCTGCCACGAGGTCAGGACTCCCTGGCACTGCCGTGCCTAACGCAGCGAAAGAAGGGGAGAGGGTCGGACACTCCAAACCTGCAGAGCGCCAAGATACCTCAAAGAGCTCAGGGTTATACGGGATAAAGACACCTTTTTTTCCCCCCTCCTTCTTCACCTTACCGGTTTTAGAGGATACCAAACCCTGTATTAAATGCAGAGTTAATCCCTCTATTTTGAAGCAGAGGCAGGCAGCTCAGAGTCACGAACTTGCCTGAATGTGATGACAAGCAGAGAACTCGGCTCTGCGAGCTCCTGTCTCCCGTACGCTCCCTGCTGCTGTCACTTGGACAGCTCAGCACAACCAACTTCAGTGCCAACAGCTTATATAGGATGGCACAGACTTTAGAAATCGCTACTAGAAAAGAAAGCTATTTGCAGGAAGGTGAGACAAAAAATAAAAATCTTGAGTCAACACAAAAGGTAAATGTAGAAATATTAGAAGTACTGCTTTTATAAAGACAAAGCAGAACCTGCTTGTTGCCTGAACCCCATTTATATCTTGTAGCATTGACTCCAAATACTAAGGAAAACTTTGTTCTTATTGTTATAAGAGGAAAGGAAAAATACAAAACCCCAAAAAACAGAGAGAGAGAGAATAAAGGAAGAGTTGCCATGCATGTAACTATGAGGTCTTATCCCACTAACAGGAGTTTTACCAACCACTCCTCAGAAGTTGTCCACCACACATGATCCCCAAGTCACATGCAGAGAAAAGCCTTGCAAGAGTATTTAACCTGTTGAATTCACACACTGGATCTTCAAACTGTGAAAACACAGAAGATGCTTCTTTTGAAAGAAAAAAAAAGAAAAAAGGAAACATGACCTATTCGATATACTGCATTTGGGGTTGCAAAAGCTGCTTCTCATTATTCTATTTTGAAAACAATATAAAGCGTGAACCTTAAGTAACAAAACATCCTTTGCACAGGAAAAATACTGTGGAGTCGATCCAGGCACCTTTCAAAAACAGGTACCAAAACCCCTGCAGGATGTAAAGATCCAATCCTTCCGGGCTGACTCTGAGGCCGCTCTCGTGATGCTGAGGTACAGGGACAGAATTTGACCACATCCAATTCTCTGAAATTAGTTCACATAGGCACTGATACAGATAGTTTTGCCTTTAATGATGAATGATTTTATAATGAAGCAGAAACATATAATGTATTCCATGCAACCAACCTCATTTATTGAAAAGTCCTAATTTTATTGCCTTGTTTAGTAACATGTTTGTTCAACAAACTAATCTTTTTCATGAAGCAAAGCACAACTTTTTCTTATAAATAGTATAAATTATTTTATTTACAGAAACTTGTTACAAAACAAATAGACTATATATTTATTTTTCTTTTAAATATCCAAAGTAATTTTTCTATCCCATGACATTTGTTCATGTACTATACAGCAGCCAACACAGAGTTCAGCTGATCAGATGCTCTTGATTATGTATACAAATTATCAAACTATTCACACATTTTACACAGGAGATTGCTTTTAGAACCAGGCTCAACACCGAGCAAGATGCTTTCAAGGCCTACATTCACATTGACATTATGTAGTGCTCATTTTAAAGTTATCTTTAAAACGTAAAATATCTTGCACAAAAGGTAAAAATGATTATTTTCTGCTGAACAGTGAAACATCCAATAATCTTTCTAAGCCCAATTCCCTCCTCCAGGACAGAATGAGTGAAAGACAAGAGAGAAATTCCTTGGCAAAAGAACTCTTATGGGAAGACAACTGCCTTAGAAATGTCATGTGGAAATCACATCTTTATTTTTTTAATGGTTTTAAGAGGTACTTACTTGTTTTGTTTGTTTGTTTTGTTTTCCTGGAATACGAACTATTTTGAACATTTTCTAAATTATTTCATTTATTAATTAATACCCCCCCCTTCCCAAAATGAAAATGAAGACAGTTAAATAAACTGCTGGTTAAAACCATATTCCAAACCCTTGGCATTATATTAAATATGAGTTATCAATGGGATTGTTCCAAAACAAGGTATTCTAATTAAAAGATTTCATAAAAGTTACCAGCATCATTCGCTTTGTCAACCCATCTCATCCATTTCAGAAAATATATATATATGTATGTGCATATATACACGCACACATACATATATATACGCACACATATATTATATATAGGTGGAAAAAGCAAGCTCCAAAATTTCAACTGAACATTCAAGTCTTTTAAGGAGAAGCTGTCTAAACAGTCCAAGCTTAAAACTAGTTATATCAGGCACTTTCAGTTTTTCCGTTAGTTTTAAACCACATGAGACCCACACAAATGCGCACGCACACACACGCACACAAACACTAAAAAAAGAGAAGCAGTGTGTCACTTAACTAAATGTAGTCTTCTGGGAATCAGGCAACTGATAAGCAATGCCATTATCGACCATGTCGAACCCGACCGCAGGACCCAGGCAATAGTTTGCATGTATCCACTCCCAAGACATGAAAAGGGACACAGCTTTCAAAAAACAGAGGCATCCCTTAAGTTGCAAAGTAGGCATGTTAACTATTGGCTTGGCAGTGAACCACTTCAAATTATAAAAAGGTATTTGCTTTTTTTTTTTAATTAATTAATAAATAAATACTAGATGATCTCAATTGTACCAAAACTGGATATAAGAAAAAAAGACCTGTGCAAAAATACATATTTAAATATGTACAATCAATTAACAAAATATGTCTTCTGAAATAGGGATACTTCAATATTTATAATAGAACAAGAAATTCCAAAATAAAGATACAAAAGTATGTTTTTTTTTTTCTTGTATAATTCTTTGTTCATCATTGCAGCAATTTTTTAGGTTAAGAAAACTGCAGGAGTCATAATGAGAAGTTGGAAAGACTATAAAAACTGTATCTCTTAAATTAATACCAAAAATCTGTCTAGAAACAACCCAGCCACTGCAAATTCCATTTTGCAAGGAAAATTAATTTTAAGCTTCCTTAATTATTTACAGTAAGAACTATGTGACAATAAAAGCTTCAGGAACAATGTTCTGCTTATAACCAAGATCCAAAACATATTATTTAAGCTCAAGGGCAGACAGAATTTATGATGTTCTAACTCTTTACTCCCAATGGCGACACAAGTGACTGCAGACACTGGCTCTGTACGAGCCGCAATCGGGAATTCAGTTTCTAACACGTCTGCATGCTATCGAAGGAGCACAAATTTGCCATTATACTTTCAGATCAACAGAACCTTAAAAAAAAAAAAAGAGAAGAGGAGAGTTCGATCACAAACTCGTTAGCGTTCAATCTTGCCAAATTTTTGTTTCCTTTACCTTTGCGTCTATCAAGAGTCCAATTGCACTTGTGACTGACACTATCCTGAAGTGGAAGCTCTGCCCCAGGGACTTCATCAGAGCGTGGATTTCACTCCAAACGTGCAGGATTTAATACGCTTTGATTTCTCTTCGTGGCATATCGCTTTGGTTCCTTTTACATTAAACCAATTGCAGTTCTAACAATCCTTTCAACAGGGCATATTATTAAATACAAATCCTTTTGTTCCTGAAAAGTTGTCTTTTTTTTTTTTTAAAAGTTTTGCATAATAAGTGTCTCTAGTACGTTGCTTTCTCAATGTGATCTTTTGTATCAATTCAAAGCTAAAGTGTCTGCATAGAGGCTTCTTGTTGGTTTGCTGTATAACAATGATTTCATAGCAAGTTCAGGTTAAACTGAAAGCATTGTTAGGTAAACAACTAAGCAACTGCTACTCAGAGTGGCTTTGGATTCCCTGATGTACTACTTGCCACCAGAACTGGGGAGAAGGCTGGGCTATGCGAACAATTGGACAGGCTCAGATTGTCTCTTCTCAGCAAAAGCTGGTGCCCCTTTAAGGCAGAAAAAAATAGTATCTTCTTCCTTAGGAATTTGTCTTCCTTTACTTCACCCTCTTAATAAAAGTTTAGTCAGTTTTGAGACTTTACCTGATGTTTAAAAACTTAACAAAAATATCCAGACAAATCAAATCATAATACAATAAGCCCTTTAGCTGTATTCACTTTGGAGGTGTTTTGAAGCAAGACAAAATATTTCATAAAAACTGACTGGACTATATAAAACTGTGTAAAGCCCCTTTTATTCATAAAGCCAGGGTAGGCGTGGGATGACTGTGATGCACACATCTGCGCTTTATGGTGAACTCTGCTGTCAAATTGGTGTTTATTCCAGAATTTTGGGGAAAAAAAAAATATATCTTACTGAGTGGTTGAAAGCATAACACGTTAACGATTTAGTTATACAAACAAGGCATAAAGAAACTGACTTCTACTCTTTTTAGAAAATATTTAAATACTTTAAATACTTAGTTTTAAAAAGGCTATTTTTACCAGCTGGAAGGCAAATCCAGCCTAATTGAACCAATTCAGTTGTTATTTTTTTTAAATAACAAAGGCCTATGGTATATAGTATAGGTCAATAAATACGTTCTTTGGGCATATAGTTTTAGAGGTTATTTGCCTTTGTCCGTTTGATGTTTTGGGATTTTTTAAAAAACAAAATTAACTTTCATTTTCTTCTGCAATAAAATCTTATTCAAAAGAATAGAAAATACGTTTTGTATCATGCATGTACGACATTTTTATACTTGTTTTCTGAGCGGCGGCCTCAAACAAGTTTTTCCTGGTTTTTGTTGGGTTTTTTTTGTTTGGGTGTTGTGTTTGTTTTGTTTTGGTTTTTTTTTTGTTTTTTTTTTTTTTTTTTTTTTTTTTTTTTTTTTAAACTCCTGATAGCTTCTTATCCCAAATTACTTGCAAAAGGCTGGGCAAAACACAGACTATTTTTTGAATTGTGCTATTTTTATATTCCATTAAAGGAACATTGCTATAAAAACACTAAAGCCATATTCCCTTCTTGAGGGCTTCTTTCCATTGTGCCTCACACATTTTTTCCCCCTTGTCACGGGGTCCTCTCCATTGAGGGTGTCCGTCTGGTTAGCTATCACCTACAAAAGACACCATCAGTATAAAAATAAGTCCACAGTAACGTTTATTTCCCCCCAGAAAACATTCGTTTGCCCAGCTAATCTATGTCAAATAGTGGCAAGATGAAGTACTCCTGTAAGTAAAATCTCACAGATTTGTAGCAAACAGTCCAGACCACCGTTAACACTGATAAGAGCAATTATGTGGCTGAACTTCATCCAGTGTCCATTTCTAGTATATACGCTGCTACAGACATGGCTTCAGGGAAATTCCTTGTTTAAGTGACAGTCCAGTAGATTTCCACACCTGAGGACCATGGGAAGTTGGGAAAACTCAAGGCATCTTGGAGTCCAGAAATCCAGATGGAGGTTTTGCTTGTAGTGAAAATTGTCCAGTTCGTTTCTCACCATGGTGCATTCAGCTATCAGGGACGTGCCTTTGGCTTTTGGGCAAACAAAAGAAAGAGAAGGATAAGTAACCCAGGCTGTTAGAGCATACGCCCTTAAAAGATATTTTCTGGATAACGACAGCATATTTTGGGGAGAATCAGTAGGCACAATGTGACCACACTAACACGCAGTCGGCTTCTCCGAGACTTGGCAATTTTCAAGCTAAAGCTCTTTAAAGTTATAATGGTTTCAGACATTATTTCCTTCCTTCATTCACTCAAATTATATTTCTCCTTTATTTATATTGCACAGTTGAAATAGTAACTATTAGATAAGTCAAAAAAATAAATTCAGCCATCTGAATGCTTGTATTTGTTACAGTAAACACAACATAATGGTGAAAAATCTTCCTCTATGGCTGAAACTGAAAATGAAGAAACCATTCTGAAAAAGCTCTTCCTGACCTCCTAGCTCTCCAGGTACACAGATTTCAGGTTATTAGCACCAGAGGAAACAAAAAGTTTCTTGGGTTTTCAATCTCAAAATATTCTAGTTCTAAAGATACTCTCTAAAATTCCACCTTCTATACTCTCCTTGAGCTGCATCAAATTATTTTTACCCCTCCATGTGATCCTCCAAGTCAGTTTGAAGAGTATTATTAAGAAGTCTGAGCTACTGGTTTCTAAATTATCTCTCATCCTAACTTATCAAGAATTTTCTCTCCCAAGACACTATTTTTCCAGTGCAATTTGTTAAAAAAAAAAACACAACACACACAAACCGCCCCCCCCAAAACTCCAAACTGATTTTTAACATGGGATGTTACATATTCATGAGATCTTCTTCCTTTATAGTAAATCCATTTGCTTTACCTACTAAAAGGTTTCTATCTTATTTATAATGTTTAATCTCGTTATTACTAAGAAGTTAGTCAATGACACCTTGGGATAATAGGCTTATTTTATCACAGTTCTGTTATCAGAATCATTATGTTCCACCTTGTAGAATGTTTATTACTGACAGAAACAAGAAGTCAGGCTGAGACAGGCAGCTCAGTTCCATGGCTGGCTGGCAAGATTTACTTCTAAAATTAATTTTTTTAAAATGTGAGGATTGAGTTTCATCTGAGAGCAATTCACAGGCAACATCTAAGGAACTTCGAATGTCATATTTAAGGTTACTTAAAAAAAAAAAGCTACATTTTATGAGAGCGCTCATAAAAATCTTGTGTAAATCACTATAAAAACACTCAAAACGAGTAGCCGACAAAGAAGAGAACTATCTTTTACTTGAATAGGATCTGGAATTGGCCAGCTAATAATGAAGAGAACACACTTAATATAAGCATGTGAAGAGACATGTTCATATTGGCTTAGTTTGAGACAAAATTTCATACCTGATGAAACAGAGAATTGTTCATCAGTCCTTGAGTCCCTGGAATTGCACCAGTGTGTTTTGCATGAACATTGTTCACCGATGTCAATTTGGCAACTTTATTTGATTTGCTGCTGCTGCTGCTGCTGTTTATGTTGCCAGTGCCAGGTGAGCACTTTCTTTTCTTTCCTATTAATTTGTCAAGGGAAGTATGCGAATGTGAAAAACTGCTGTGTGAATTTACAGTCAGCTCGCTGGACTGATGAACAAACGGCCCTAAGGAGAGCGTGGAGTCGCTGCTGTTCATCATCACACTCATTCTCTTTATCGATTCTGCAGGGCTTCCAGTCGGAGGACCCCTCCCTGATTGGTCATGTTTGAGGCTAACAGAGTTAGCTTTGCTAGTCATACAGTTGAGGCCAACGCTGTGGGACGAAGCTGTCACCGACGGATGATAGGAGGTCCCAGAGTTTCCAGAGTTAACCACACAGTTTTTCCTAAAGGACTCTGTGGAATGAGAAGGTGCTAGCAGTGCGGAACTGTTTTTACGCTTCTTTCCTGAGCCGCTGCTGCTACTGACGCTGCCGGTACTGTTACAGGTGCCACTGCCAGAAGAAGATTCCTTAGGTTTAAAAGATTTGCTGGATTTCATTTTCTGAGGTTTGCTGGGCATAGGTGAAGGTACAGAGGAAAGCACTGTAGGTGTTGAAGGGGATGAAGACACTTGTCTTGATTGCATACTGCAGACAGGATCCACTGCACCCAAAGTAGCAGGATTGGCATTTAGTGTCGTTCCATGTGATGGTACCGATTTATTATTCAGAGACACACAGGAAGGAGATACCAATGCTGGCGATGACATAACCGTGGTGGGTAAGAGGAAACCTGCTGCACTGACACCATACTGTGAAGCAGGCACCGAGTTTGTCCGATGTGGTGCACGAACTGATGCTGTGTTACTAGATGCTGGAGGAATTTTCCTGCAGGTGAACAGAAGAAAAAACAAACAAAAACCTACGTAGCTACCATTCTTTGGAATAATACCCAGTCTAATGATGCTACGTTAAAGTGATTGTATCTTGAGGCTGACTAATGCCACTAAAATATTTTATTAAATTAACAGTTAATTATTGTAAAAAATGTAAAGCATAGACTATAAACCGTTGGTCTGACTAATCTGAATACAAGATTATTGCTCTTTAACTAGAATCACAGGCTTCATGTGTTTCTACAAATACCAAGAATAAGAACTCTTTCACTTCTACTCACTTCCACATCTGTGAATTAAGATGCTTCTCCAACATGAAGTCAAGTGCACATCGAATATGGTTCCACCGCTTGTCAAACACGTAATAACCTCTTCCAATCTGCCGACTACCAAATGTGCAAAACTGAAAAAGACAGATTTTTATTGGTGTTTTCTACTTTCAGGATCAACTGTCTGAATAACAATGTACTTGTTTATAAATATTGCTAAATGAATATGCTTTTAGATGTTTAAATCAAGGATAAAAAACATAAATCAGAATTCTTCTTTCTATGGTATAACAACTATTTTAAATTTTTGGCCTTGGTATATTGCGATAATTTTCTTCCCATCTGATACTCCCATACTTATGGCCAATAGCAGCAGTTAATTTGAATCCTTCTGATTAAACAGGGAAGGACAGCGTGTGTTTATGTGTATGTATAAAACATTTATATATATAT